CCCTTCTTCAGAAAATCTTTTCTGAAGAAGGGTCTAGGCCCGAAACGTCAGCCTTCCTGCTCCTCTGATGCTGCTTGGCCTGCTGTGTTCATCCAGCTCTACACCTTGTTATCTCAGATTCTCCAGCATCTGCAGTTCCTCCTATCTCCTTAACACCCAATAGTAATTTTCAAATGTAAAAGTATGCTGAACAGAATTTCCTGCAGGAGTTTGTATGCATATCCATGACCTGGTTGGAAGGATGAGGATGATATGAAGTTTGGATAATATATGGAATCGGTGCCAAAGAACAAAGAATAATGCAGCACAGGAACAGGCCCTTCAGCCCACCAAGCCTGGTTAGTGATAGGCAGCATGGATTTGTGTGGGGGAAATCATGTCTCACCAACCTGATTGAGTTTTTTGAGGAGGTGATAGGAATGACTGAGGGAAGGGCAATGGATTTTGTCTACATGGACTTTGGTAAGTTTTTTGATAAAGTACCTCATGGTAGGCTGGTGCAAAATGCGCAGAGTCTCATAGATTCTGGGGTGTGCTGGCTAGATGGATACAGAACTGGCTCGGTCATAGAAGACAGAGTAGCTTTGGTCCTAAAAGACTAACTTTTCCATCATTCAATATCTCCCGCCTTCCATTCTCTCTCAACTCTCCCTTCTGTAATAATGGCAAAATACTGCAGATGCTGGAAATCTGAAACAACACAAAATGTTAGAGAAACTCAACAAGTCTGACAGCATCTGTGGAGAGAGAAACAGTTAACATTTCGAGTCTGGTATGACTTCTTCAGAACTGAAAGATGTTGGAAAATAAGAGGCAGAGGAGGAGCAAGACAGCAGACAGTATAGAGGCCCAAAGTAAAAAAACAAAGGGGTTATTAGTGGAGAGAGAGAAAGAAAGGGATGACAAAAGGTGCAAATTAAGATGTGGAAGGGAGTTATTTGGTCCTTGCTATTAAATGCAGAGATAACGATACAAACATGACATGGTTGTGGAGGCAGGAGGGTTGGTGGTTGGTGGAGAATGTAAGAGAAATGGAGTGCAGATGTGATCTGGTCAGTTTTTGAGGTTAGTAAATTCAGTGTTGAGACCCTGAGGCTATAGAGTGCCTAAGCAGAAAGTGTTGTTCCTCAAGCTTTCTTCTGTCTCTGTCCTTGTTCTGCCCACCTTAGCATTAAACCTATTATGTTGCTAACCTTCTGACCTGAGACATCTATCTTTCTCTACAAAGATGCTGCATAAACTTTCCTGCTGTTTGTTTTAACTTATGAAACATTTGTACTCAAGTTGTCCTGCAGTCACTTTGAAAAGAAAGTTGTTATCATAGTTAATTTCTTCTACAAGAGCCAAACTCTGGTTATTGAAGATGAAATATCTACCATGTCAAAAATAATTTGGTTAGAAACAACTGACCATTTGTTCATATTTTGTGTTCTAAAAAGTTGCACCAGTAACATTTCATTGTTTTCCATTGAACGTAAACACATTAATCTGGAGCATTTTGATAATGCTGAAAATGTTTCAGTATTAGTTGGTAAAGGAGGAAAGTGTAAATTGCTTTAAATGTTCATAGTTTTTTTGGAGTTTTTGGCTTTTACTGTAAAGTTTGAAACTTGTGCCAATAAAGAAAAGCTACTTCCACAGGTTATACACAACCCTATATTTTGGTAACTTTTGGTTTTTACTTCAGCAAACACTGTCGGGCCTATCATTGTGCTTAGCTGTAATGCTGAAAATATGTGCTGCAGAACTAACCAAGTTGTTCCGGTACGGCTACTAAAAAGACACCTACCCAGGAAGGTGAAGAATGCCCAAGTATGTCCTATCCATTAAACACTGGACATGCACAGGCCAGCCGGTTATTACCACTGTTAATGTACTCTTGATCATCATCAAAGTGATAGATTGCTAACAAGTCATGCCTACTCAGCATTACCCTCACTAATACTTATTTGTGATTTCTCTGGGACCATTTGTTTCCAGACCACTTTGTGTCCTGGTGCAAATATTGACATGAGCTAAATTCCAGAGTTGTGACTACACTTGGCACCAAGACAGCATTTGACTGAGTGGCATCAAAGAGCCTAACAAAATTGAAGTCAGTGGAGATTATTTAAAATTCCCCTTTTGATTGCAGCCTACCTTTTAACAATGAAGATGTTTGTGTGTTTTTAGAGGTCAAGCATCAATCCCAAGGGCATTAGTACAGGAGTTGTCAGGGTAGTGTCCTAGTTTGAACTATCTCAGCACTTTTGTGAATAGCCTTCTTTCCATCATAAGGTCAGAAGTAGGGCTGTTTACTGATGATTGCACAGCTTTAAATATCATTTGCAGCTCTTCATGTAATGAAGCATTTTATGTAGCATGCTGCAAGAGTTGGACTTCAATCAAGCTTGAGCTGATAAATAAAACACACTACTCGTCATACAAGAGCCATGCAACAACCATACGTAACGAGAAAATCTAGCCATCGCCACATGTTATTCAATGGCATTGTAATTGCTGAATTCCCCCACCATAAATGGTCTGAAGGAGTTGACATTGCCCATGAACTTACCTGGACAGGTTAAATAAATGATATGGCTCCAAGAGTAGCTCTGCACTGCATAGCTCAACTGTATTAGCTTCACCACCCTCCAGCCCAGAGGCTGTCTACCAACTACAAATCAGGGGTGTGATAGATGAACCACCACCTTGGCCAAAACACTCACTCTACTGCTGATACATAGTGGCAGAAGTATACAGAATTTGCAAGATGCACTGCAGTAACTCACCACCTAGAAGGCCAAGGGGTGCAGCTGCCTGAGGATACCACACTCTGCAAGTTTCACTTCACATCCCCTTATCCTAACTTGGAACTGTCGTCATTCTTGTTCTTTTCATGAGATATGGACACTGCCAGCAAGGCCAGCATCTCCTCGTTCCAAATTGTCCTTGAACCAGGTGGCTTGCCAGGGATTTCAGAGGGCAGTTGAGAGTCAACCACATTGCTGAGAGTCTAAAGTCACATGTAGGCCAGACCTGGTAAAAATGGCAGATTTTGTTTTTTAAAGGACATTGGTCAACCAGGTGGGTTTTATCAACAATTAACAATGGTTTCATGGTCATACTGACAGCTTTTAAATTCAATTAATACATCTAAAATTAAATTCCACAAGCTGCATGGTGAGGTTTGTACTCATTTGCAGAGCATTAATCTGGGCCTCTGGATTTCTAAACTGGTGCTATTACTACATCACATCACTGTCACTAGTCATGTTCCCCTGACCTCTTTGGGAAGAAACATAGTATGTTTAGTTCACCCCAGCTTATTAGATGTGTCTTAAAATCAGTGGGTATAATTGAATGTCAACTGACTACTTCCCCATCACCTGTTAAATGGTGTATTGAAGAATGGCTAAAAATGATGTAAAGTAGACCAGCAGAAGGTGAAGGTGCCATAATGTACTTCATACAGTTTGTCTTTTTGTTAGGATCATCCTGCTATTTTTACAATATTATGTTTCAATTAATGAATGTTTGCTGTCTGAATGATGCTTTCTGTATGGACTAAACAATGAAAAATATTGTCGAGATTATTTTCTTTATTCAGCATTTCAGTGACTGGTTATAGTGATTGAAAATCAAAGATTGTGTGCCATTATCACTGATCTCTACCCTGGGCATAATTCCCATTCCAGTTAAATCTTTTCTTGTGTTGCAGGATTCTGACAATCCTGATCTGCGAGACCGTGGCTACATATACTGGCGTCTACTTTCTACAGATCCAGTAGCTGCAAAGGAAGTTGTTTTGGCAGAGAAACCCTTGATTTCAGAAGAAACAGACCTAATTGAGCCAACCCTCCTTGATGAACTAATTTGCCACATTGGAACCCTGGCTTCTGTATACCATAAGCCACCCAGTGCATTTGTGGAAGGTAGCAGAGGTGTTCAACACAAGAGATTGCCGCCACGGTCTGGATCGTAAGTAAAAATTCCCTAAGGGCATTTGTTTTGGCTTTCTTGAACCAGACAGATCATTAATCTAGCTGACTACACAACTGTTTTTCAACGAATAGGACCTACTAATTGAAAAGAAGAGCTGTCTGTGCCCATTGTCTTGTGAAATAGACCATTTGACATGTAGCATTTAACTGACTTGCTTCAAGTATGAATGATTATGAATGACATTTAATTGTAAAACTATGGAGTAATTGTGTATAAACTGAATTGTTTGTTCATTGGCAGTTTGTTTTCACTCCAATTTCCTTTCCACCATTAGGTTTACCTCCTACAAATGAGAGAACCTTCCCTAAATCATTGCTTATTTGAACGAAAAATCCTATAGATCAAATTGATGAAAATTTAACATCCATTTTACTGATCTACTGCTTCACACTTTATCAAACAACCAAACTGAGATCAAGAGATTGTGCACGAGAGTAGTAAAAGGGTTGTTAACTATTCGTCAGGTTAACCTATAGGATTTTTGGGGACTGGTTCAAATAAGCAAGAGATTTAGGCAAAGGTGTCTCATTTGTATTAGGCAAACCTAAGGCTTTTGGGGAGAGCAACAGAAATAAGTTTTCCAGTAATGTCAGTACTGTATTTAAGTAAATCTTGTGCCTACTTTCCTGTCATCTCTCAGGAATGAAAGTACCGAGAGTCCAGATGTAACCCCATCAACTGCTGCACAGCCCACTGAGCAACAACCAGCTGTTATACCATCCCAGGGAGATCTTTTGGGTGATCTACTGAATCTGGACCTTGGACCTCCAGTTAATGTTCCCCCTATTCCCTCATCAACAGTTCAGATGGGAGCCATGGACCTTCTTGGTGGTGGATTGGACAGTTTGGTAGGCAAATAACTACAGGGCTCTAAAACCCTGTGGTTTTCAAACATTTTTTTAGAAATTGTCAGTGCACCTGTCAAAGTTAAGTTAAAATGTTATGATGGCGTATTTAATTTGGTTGTAGTGTTCAATCATGTTTTAGCCCCTCTTCTAATTTCAGGAGTATAGTATTGTACAGGACCTAAAGAGCAGAACAACTTTTTTTTAAATTTCACCTGTCCAGAAACTTTATTAGCTTTCAGTATAAAAGTAAGAATACTTTAATAATATTAACTTTCTTTCAATGCTTTAGAGTCCTATTTTATTTCTTATTCTCAGATTTTGCATTAACTAATGGATAACTATTGCTTGAACATTGACATTTGAATTTTAACAATTCTATAATGTCAAATCGCTTTAACATTACTTTAGAAATTCAACAGATGCACTGAAATATTGTACATTTGACACTGTAGAGGCAATACTGATGTTTTATTTTTAGTTGGTATTCGTTTAATAGTTGAAGCTGATATACGTATACTAATCATGCTGTGTTTCTTCTTTGAATTTATGCTGTTCCTTTTTTTTCACTCTACTTCTGCTTGCATGTGAATGTCCTTGCGTTGCCTCTGTCTTTGCATATTCGTGTCTGGAGATGGGCGATGAAACCGAAGGGGTATGATCCTATGTCCTTTTGGCTGGTGATTTTTGTTTCCAAGTTAAAGTTGCAGGATATTTATAGTTTACGGATTATGCATTATCCGATCTCAAGTTCCAATAATTTGGGCTTATTAGTGGAGAGAATCAACATTTTAGATGTTGTAGAATAAAATCTACACATTTTTTATCATTTTTATTCAGAATGTACTTTTTCTTCTGCATTGTGCAACCAAACTATTTTGTTTTCTTTTAGCTTGGTGGAGATCTAAGCGGAAGTCCTGCAGTAAGTTGCATATCTGCTTCATAAATATGTCAAAATGTTATACCACACGTCTGCTTTTTTAACGAGAGCAAAGATTTTGTGACTTAATGCTGTTTCCCTCTAATCTACAGCTGACGTGCTTTTCATCTTTTACAGTTCACATAAACCAGTTGAATTCTTATTAAAATCAACCTTAATTCCTAATTCTTAACAGCTAAATCTTGTGGATTTAGATATTTTCTAAAATAATGATAAAAGAAAGTCAACGTGAGCTATAACTTGAAGTGTTGAATCAAGAATGCAGAGCATTTGCACATTATATTCTTAAGGAAACAAAATCCTGCATTTTAGCAGTAAAAACTCAATGCAACATGAATTGTACTTGTGTTTCTTTCCTTATGAAACAAAATATTTAATTCTTACTGAGGCTATGCCCTGTAGAGATCCATGAGTAATTTACCTTTGGTTTGTTTCTTTTTTTAAAAAAAAACATCCATTTGAAAACAGTTCCAAGTAAAATGAAATTGCCTCTGTTTACCTCATTGTCCAATTTGATTATTTATCGAAAGCCTACAATCCAATCAGACCATTGCAATAGAACTGGTTTTAGTTTTAATGAAGGAAAATTTACCCATCACTATGGTTGAATTGATTTTAAAAACTGTTGTTAACCCACTATATTGAAATGTAATTTCTTCATTTGTTTTTAGTAATTTGAGCTTTGATTTCTCTTTTTATATGTTGTCATATATTACAAATCTAGATTATTTGTATAAATCAACATTGATGAACTGATCACTAGTTTGCACCTTGTTTTTTTTTCCTGCAGTGCGCACAATTAAAATCAAGTATGCAGCTACTTCTATAGTGTCTACAATACAGTATGTGACAAAGGTATCTTTTGTTATCTGTACAGATTGGTGCGGGGTATGGAACTCCAGCAGTCGTGCCAACATCTTTGAATGCACCACTGGGAGGTGGTTTAAGTGACCTGTTTGATCTTGCTGGTGGAATGAACATGCCATCTGGTTCTTACGTGGCCCCCAAAACTGTAAGAATTATTTATTTGCTTTTGATGTTCTTTCTTGAAGGATGGATTATTCCATCTCCTGACCATCTAGCCTAAGTGCCTCACTGCTCGAAGCAACTGATGCCCTGCTTCCACATTCATACCTGTGCTGCCTGTAGCTGATTATAAGACGAAACTCTGCCCAGGTGCAGCTGTTTCCTCATTTTTTTTTTGTTTTTGTTTTTTTTTCCTACCTGAACAGTGATGAGGCAGCATTACTTAGTTAACTCCCTAATCAGTATGGATCGACCTGTGTTTTTTGCACTCTGTGGCTCTATTAGTGCTATAAACAGTCAGCAGTAGCACATTACTTGTAAGCCAAAAGCTCTAGTTCCTTCTCTCCAAATGACTTCAGTTTGATCTACTAGTAGTTAAGTGGTCGCTCCTTTATATATGGTCAGGGATACTTTATTATGATTTTACTCAATTTGGTTCTTCACAAAAAACTCTAAACACAAAATTAGTGGAATTTTAACGGTCTTGAAAGTATACTAAAATGCTCCACAGTGCTAATTAAAAGTCTAAAACCTGACGAGACGCCATTTAGTTTGGAAAACGTAGCAATTATAATTGCACGCACATTTTAGCTGCAGCTTATTAACTTTGTTTTAATGATACCTAGCAATGAAGGTCCAAACTAACAAAAATCTGCAATTTTACAAGTGCACCCCTGCATTCAGAACAAGTGAATGCAAAATGCTTGAGTGCTGTGGATAGGGTTTAGTATCAGTATGCTTTGTACAGACACCATTTGCAGTTCTTTCGTTAATTTTCACTTTCATGCAATGTTGTAATGACCGGTTTTGTTTTGTTTTGTTTCATAGTGTGTGTGTGTGTGTCTCATTTTCCCCCATTACCTAATTTCCTTAGAGATAGTAGGAACTGCCGCTGCTGGAGTCTGAGATAACAAGGTGTGGAGCTGGAGGAACACAGCAGACCAGGCAGC